GGATGTTGTACACCTGAAAATATAAAATTGTGTGTCAACTATACTTCAATAAAAAAAATTTATATATACATGTATGTGGTAAGGAAAGGGGTAATGAGAAATAAAAAAGCAGATATGGGAGCAACAAATAATGAAAAAGTTGAAAAATTACCATGCTAGTTGGTAATCTTGCTTTGCTAAATAAAATCACAAATTATTATGTATCTTCTCCCCACTCCTTAAGCCTACTTCTCAATGATACTTCTGTTCATTCATTCATTCAATTATTCAAATATTTAAGCACCTAATCTGTACAAAACATCAGAGGGACTTCAACGGCCATACTGCAATTTCTTAAACTCTAGAGGATTGACCATCCATTATAGCATTTTTTTTTTTCTGGATGTGAAGAAAGTTATTGTTTCAAGCCTAAATATGCAATTAAACTGAAAAATATCCCAACCCTCCATAGTTAAGCTTTCTGAAATGCGAGCAGTGAGCAAATATCATAATGCCACATTGGAGGGAAAATATAATGTAAGGGGGAAAAAAAAATCCAAGTTTACTCTTGGGACTCTGAACCATTAAGCAACTGTTGAGGTGGCCGTTTATTGGCTCTTGCCCTTAATTATGAGGTTCATGCAGTCTTAAGCTTGGGTTTCAAAAACCATTAATAATTACCCTTAAATGGCAAACAAAAGGAAAATTTTATAATCAGGGTGGTGTGTCTGTGAAGACTATAAAAGTCATGATCCTGCTCAACTCTTCACACTCCTACTTTTTGATTCCTCTAGCTGTCTTGCTGCTGGGCAACCAGGTAAATGTGATTTTAGTACAATCTGGTGCTTCTTCTGCTTCCTTCCAGAATGGTATGAAAGATAGTGGTCAGGAGAAAAAGTGGGTTGGTGCCATCTAAAGATATTTCCAGTAATTTAGAAGCTAAAAGCTGTGGTCAGCTTTCTTGGAGACCACAGCCTACAGAGCACAGACCAGGTGCATAAAAAGTGGAGAATGTCACGATTACTAATAAAAGGGTTTGGCTCCAGGGACCATATCCTCACAGATGGACTCTAAGAACAGACATTTAACATACTAAGATGATTATTTTTACTACACCAAGGAAAGAGCCCAAAGGCACTGAACTGCTGGCAAAATCATCAATATAAAACTCCGCTTCAGCTTTTTGGTGAGTTCATTTCTTTTCCAATTGACAGGCCACCACGATGAGCATAAAAAAGTCTCCCGAAGAACTGAAGAGCATTTTTGAAAAATACGCAGCCAAAGAAGGTGATCCAGACCAGCTTTCGAAGGAGGAGCTGAAGCTATTGATTCAGGCGGAATTCCCCAGTTTACTGAAAGTGAGTGCACCACCGCAGAGCCCATGAACGGGGCCTCCGAGGGTGAGGAGGGAGGGGTGGGAAGAGGAGAGGATGCAGGGGAGGCGGAGGAATGCAGTACTAATCGGGGCTCCTTCTGGGGCAGAGCACACAGCAGCCAAGGTGCGGGCATCCCTTGACTAAGGGCCCTTGAACGTGTGTTTTCTTCCCTGGTGGCAGGCCACATCTCAGATGGCAGGCACCTAGAAAACAGGGGCCAAGCCTTCTATGCCCCACAGCCTGGGCACAGAACTCTCCATGACCAGCCAGAGTAAAAGGAAGCAATGATTGCACTTTCAATGAAGCTAGGCCTAGAAGACCCATAGGTCACTAAGCCAACATGCTAAGTCCTTCGGCCTGGATTCAGCACCTCTGGGCCAGGCTTTTAGGAAAACAAAGAGGTGTGCAAAATAATATTAGCTGACCTTGGACATGCTTCATCGTTATAGGTAGGATCTGTCAAGACCAAGTCAAGAAGACTTACTAGGCAATCTGTAGAGAAAACCCACTTTGCACTGACAAATTGCCATCTGGTGACATCCATTGATATTTCAAAAGCATTTAAATTTGTGTTAATTTGTGTTAAGCACCTAAATCTGTGTTAATGAGGCAGCCAGGCATTTCTAAACAACTCCAGGAAGGGATTAAATCTCTTTAGCCAGACAGTTTCTCTTCAAAACCATCCCAGAGTTGTCCAAATCAAAGTGCATCTTGAGGGCGCCTGGGTGGCTCAGTCATTAACGTCTGCCTTTGGCTCAAGTCATGATCCCAGGGTCCTGGGATCGAGTCCCACATCGGGCTCCCTGCTTGGCAGGAAGCCTGCTTCTCCCTCTCCCACTCCCCCTGCTTGTGTT